AATTAAATATATATATTTTTAAATTTTTATAAATAATAAAAAACGTGTTTATTGGGGGAGGGCAGGAATGTCAAATGGGAGGGCCTGGCCCTCCCACGGCGCCGGGCATGCCACAACTGTCTCTGGACTCTGAGCAAATTATACTTTTCATATGTATTTCTGTATTATCTGTGTTATATTTGAGACAACGCAACGAGTCAAAATTCTCCGCTATGTCCACTGCAAACAGCGCTCTGTCTGTCTGTCTGTCTGTCTGTGTGTGTCTGTGTGTGTCTGTCAACGCATTGGCTCAATCACATTCAGCATCCCGTCAGCGTTTTCCCCCCCCCACCAACAGTCTGCGAATCGGAGGCACAGTAGGGCGGGTTTTCGCGGAATGCGGGTGGGAAAAATGTGTGTTTAAAAAAAAAAAAGTCAGAGCGAGAGTTAACAGCTCATCTAGTTGCATCTGTAGGCCTACTGTAGCTAGTAGCCTAGTTTCACCTACCGGCCACCCCAGTTGGCAGCTTTGTTTTGAAAGAAAAGTTGTGGCTCACCGAACATTTATGAGAGAACGTCTCTAATGTCAGAGTGCAAGTGAATGCAGCACAAGACGCACGTCTTGTAACCCCTCCCCCGGCCATGGCGCGAGCGTTGAAATATGATTGGCGGCGATTTCATTTGAACGGTACGGCGCAAAACGAGAAGCATTCGGACCCAAGTACTGAAGGAGTTAGGTATTTGCGGTCTACAATGACAGAGAAGAGACTGTCAAGTTTGGCTGTACTCAGCATTGAATCAAAACGTACTAAAGGTTTGGATCTTACTAATTTTGTGAGGCGTTTTGCTGAATAAAATGGTAATCGCCACATTCAGCTGTTATAGATAGACATGTCAACTTGATGCTCTGCTCACGTATGAGCATACACGCTGTTATAGACATGTCAACTTGATGCTCTGCTCATGGATGAGCATACACAACTGTTAAGATGATGACCTTATGTGTGTAAATATATTTTTTTCTTTGTGGGGGTCCGCCCCCAAAAAACAGTTTTAAGTCCTGAGAAAGTCAAATAAGACTGTGTAAAACTACACTGCCCAGCCAAAAAAAAGTAACCACTTTGATTTAACTAGGCCAGTAGGTAAGGTATTTCCACTGGATAATAACTGAAGTATAAAAGAATGCATGACTGAAGTGATGGAGAGTAGAGACCATGTTTGAA